AGGGGAGAGCAGAGAAGCAAGAGAATTCTTCTGGGTGTTTGCACAGTAAGAATTGAATTTTATAGATAAATATAATGGCCTCATGTGTTAAGAGTTAAAAACAGCTACAGAGTATAAAAACTTGCTGTTCTGAAACTTTGCTGAAGGAAAACCATTTGTTACTGGATTCATTCTACCTATTTACCTTCCCAATAAACTGCATACTAAAGACAATTCAGTATGAGGTAAAGATCTAAGCTCATTAGTGCTGAAGTAGATCACGTCAAGTGCTCTGAGGGTTTTGGATGCAATGAGAACATCTATCAGAATGAATGAAACAGATTCTAACACTATCACCATTATTTACATCATCATCACCATAACCATCAAATATTTATGGAATGCCCAGTGAGTAGAGTATACTTAATACTATTTTATGATGAAGTCGGCTCCTGGGAATTTTAACTTAAAAAATTAAAAGCAACCAGGAAGTCTCCCACAGAGAATGAGAGTCAGGGAGCAGTTGGCAGAGAACTTTGGGAGATGCTAGTGAGCTCACGTTTATAAGGTGTGAGCAAGGCCAGAAAGGAAAGATAGTCTTTTGTAGTGAAGAGTATCCAATTTGTAGATGACCCTGCTCTATATAGCAGCTCCTGTCCTCCATCCATGCCTGGACCTCTTTGTTGGGTGCCTTGGGGGGCTATAAGAACAACAAAACCCAAGGAAGAAGTTTTAGAGGGCTCCAAAGTAAAGGGAGGGAAAGTCACTGCACCGCAGGAAAGGCTTTGAGGAGACCCCAGGTAAACTCAGCCTTCCAGGAAGATTTTTCCTCATGCATCTCTTTCATTTCATTTTGTTCTATTGCCTCACATACTTGTCACTCATGTACAAAACAAATTAAAACAAAATACACCCCCAGGAAACAGTGGTGCAGAGTCTGGTGAAGTCCTGCTGGCTGGTTTTCAAGAGCTCTTGTATGAGTCCTTAAGTGACACCTTGGTAACGCCAGCACCACTCAAGGTCCTGTTCTCACTTTTGCAGGACCAATTTTTGTGGGCATCAGAAGTAGGTCTGTTACAAACAGACACACACAGTCCACTTCACATATCTCATTTCAGCAGTGCCTTTGGGCATTATGCGTGGGAAATCAAGGCGTCAGTTACTTGGTACCTGGGAATCAGAATAAAGAGAATTCATTGATACACCGTGAAGCATTTCTACCCAATTTAGTGATAGCCTTACCAAGAACACCCAAATGCTCAAGTCTGCATCACCAATACCTCCCCTCTGGGTGGCATTTGAATGGACATTGTCCACTCCTGGCTCTTGGGACTGATTGTCCTGTTCTTTGCTACATGTGACCAATTCCTTTCCGATGCAAAAGATTTTTATCAACCAGGACCAAGCAATCACCTAATACTGCAAAGGTAACCAGATAAAATACAGAATGCTCAGTTTAATTTGAATTTCAGATAAACAGCAAATAATTTTTAGCATAAGTATGTCCCAAATACTGAATTGAGATCCTCTATTTTTACTTACTACATCTGGCAACCCCCAAACTGCCTTCCTGAGCTTCCTTGCTTGTAGTTTTGGGTGTCCCAAACCCTGGTTGTAGTTTTGGGTGCTCCCAAACTCTTTGATGCACACATATAGTTTTTTGCCTTACTTATAAAAGGCTAGTAACGTTCATTACGTGTAGATTTACTGATTTGACTTTTAGAGTACAGTTTCCTTGATTTACAATTTGTGCGGTGCTGGGTGGAAGAGTGGGTCTTATTATGACTGCCATGTACTAGCATTAGCTGTTGACATGAATTGCGTTAATCAGAGTTGTTTAAAGCAATACAACCCATTTTGGGACGGATGAAGGATTAGTATAAAGGAGTTCCAATAAGATTGCTTCACTTTTACTGCGTAGCTGAAATAATGTGTATGGAGGAAAAGGGAAGTGGGAATTCCATTATGGGAGAAGGGTAATTTTGGAGATGAAATCTTTGCCTGTAAGGCAGCTGTGGGTAGCGGAGTTCTCTGGCAGGGAGTTGCAGTGTCATGGGCCTCTAAGAAGGAGAACACCAGGATGTTAGAGAGGGATTCATAACGAGAGGGAGAAAGATGTCAAAGAAACTGAATATTCATTTGGGTGTAGGGCTGGCTCTAGATGTGCCAGGAGCTGGAATTCTTTCCTCCTGCTGTCTTCTATTGTTTGGTCCAGCCTCATTAGTTAGGTTATTATTATTATTAGTAGTAGTAGTAGTAGTAATAATATTTGCCTGCATTTGGGTCAAGTAGACCCAATTTTAAGGTCTAGCTGGGAATCTCACCATACTACGTAACACTGGCTTAATGAGATGTGGTCTGAGTTTCAAACACATGACTTACAAATAAAAAGTTGAAACACGACTTGGTCAGGCTGGGTGTGACTTACGCACCTGGTGGGTGTTAAATCCAGGTAGAAGGCCTGGTCACAGTACAGTGTGTGACACTGTTACATTGAATACACGTAAAGAACAGCTCTTATAGACCCGATCCAACTCAATCACGTTCCACTCAGCAGCTATTTGTTGACTGCCTTTCTAGAAATACAGAGATAATATCTTCAAAAGAGGGGTGGAATAGTAAGATAACAGCGAACAGTTGTGCATTGTGCTAGGTGTGGGGTCAAAGGTGAAGGAGCCCTCGCTCTGGCTTCAAGGTGTTTACAGAAAACTGCAAGACAGAACTAAGACAGCCATTTAAAAGAAGGGAGTTGCCCGGCCTGGCGTGGCTCAGCGGTGGAGCGTCCACCTAGGATCCAGGCGATCGGGGTTTGATCCTGAGGTCAGGGCACATGCCCGGGTTGCGGGCTTGATCAACGACTCTCTCATCATTGATGTTTCTCTCTCTCTCTCTCTCCCTCTCCTCTCTCTGAAATCAATAAAGATATATTTAAAAAATAAAAAATAAAAGAAGGGAGTTACTAAGTACAAGAGAGAATGTGGAAAGTGCTTTGCAAATATGAAGTGCTGTGGGGGCTGCTGCAGACTGGGCCTCTAGGCTCCTGACACCTCTTTATCTACAATTTTCTATAGAAGAAATAGAAAAAGGAAACAGTCTGAGAGGCTAAGAATGGAGGTCATGCCTGGACCTTGGGCAAGTTACACGGCCTTCAGCCTCAACCTTCTCGCCTGATACACGGGGATCACCAAAGTCGGCCTTGCAGGGTTACTGGGTAGATGAAGCAGGTGATAAGCGGGGGGAGCACCTGGCCTTGAGCCTGGCAGGAGCAAAGGGCTCAATAAACCCTACTTCTCATGAGCACTTATTTTCACCTCGGAGTGATGGAGAAGGGAACACTTTGTGTAGGGCTGTTTTACAGCGTCTTATTTAGGGGCACCGCTACGGGGTACAATTTCCACGAGGAACACCCCGCAGCCTCCCACTTGGCGCCCCTTGCCCTAACCAAGGGCCAGAGAAATTCGGACTCTTCCCGGGAAAACGGAGCCTGGTTTCTTCCCCGTAGACTCTGAGGGAAAGGTGTCGCAGAAGCCCAGGCTTCAAACAGGGGCAGCAGGGCACGGGGCTCCGCAAGGGTCTCAGGCGCCCGCGCCGCGCAGGGCCCGCCCCCGCGCCTCCGTCCCGTCCC